ACCCCCACCTTCCCTCTGAGATTCCTCAGTCTGTTCCATGCTTCCATGTCTCTGGATCTATTTTGTTCATCAGTGTATTTTGTTCTTTTATAAACGGTCTTGACAGTCATAGTTTAAGGGTTGCATCTATGATCATTATTATATCCCTCCTGGTCATATTAATTTACTTGAAGTCCAGCTTTATCTCATAGTACTATCTTAACCGCTATACCTTTTTAAAAATGTGATATATTTTTGCCCATTCTTACTTTATACCTGTCTTCATTTGTTTTAGACATTTCCCTTGTAGATGGTATATGGTTGGTTTCAACTTTTTGAATCAGTTCTGTCATTTTTATATACTATTTTTTATTGTAGGATGTATTTATTCTCCCCATTACTTGGAAATTGTATGAGTTGGGGGGGTTCTGTCTGTGTGTGTGTGTGTGTGTGTGTGTGTTTAAAAAGTGGTTCTCTTTAAAAAATTTGCTTAAACTTATAGGTATCAGTTTATCAACTTTATTCTCTTTTTATTCCATAGTTGATACTTTCTGGGATTTTTGTTACAATCTATTATTGTTTATTCATGAATCCATTTATTCAGCAAATATTTGTTTACAAAATTAATTTATTCTAAATGATATATATATATGTGATAAAGATATTAAACAAAAAGAGCAAGTGATTGAATGAGAAGGTATTCTAGTTTTCCATTGCTGTGCAACAGTTCACCCCCAATTTAGTGGCTTAAATAACAAGAACTTAATATCTGTTTTCATTCCATGTTTGGGTTCAACTGAGAGCAATTTTTATTTGGTATCTCTAAATATTTGTGTTTGCAGTCAAATGGCAGCTGGTGCTGAAGGCTCAGCTGGACTTGATGTCCGCATGGCTGGCAGTTGACTGCTGGCTGAGAACTTGGTTGGGCTTCCTTATGTGACTCTGGCTTCTCACAGAAGGGCAGCTGTTTCTGAGAGGGAGTGTCCCAAGAGTGACCATTCTTAGAGACTAGATTAGTGTTTATTGTAAAAGGATATAACTCAGGACCAGCCAGGTGGAAGGGATGCACTGGGCAAAGTATGTGGGAAGGGCCAAGGACCTTCCATGGTCTCTTGGAGCACGCCAGTTCCCCCTCATCTTCATGTGTTTGCCAGCCCGGCAGCTCCAACAAATTGTTACTGATCTCCTGTTACATGCCTCACTTATTTTGCTAAATGCAGGCGATTGTGGACATAAGAAACATCGAAACCTGTAGAGAATTTTTATAAGAACTTATTTGAGCCAAACAGGATACACCTGGAAGCGAAATCGCAATAGACTGAGATAAAATGCTTCCAAGAAATAACAGTTTGCACCTGCTTTTATGCATTTGGAACTATGGAATATTACATGAAGGTGGGAGAAAGCAGGGCAAGGATTGGATTGCAGGATAGTTAAGATTGTGTGTTCTCTTGAGGGTGGTCACGCTTTTGAAGGAAGGGTCTGAAAAGAAACCTTTCAAAGGTATTAATCTGGATGCACAGAAACAATGGACGGGGCTTGCTTAAGACAGAGACAAAACTTTTACTGAAGAAGTTATATGACTACCCCCCATGACCCGCCCAGTTAGGAATTTATGATCAGATCACCATTGTGAGATTACTTTCCATAAAACTTTTTTTTTTTTTTGGGGGGTGGGGGTCCATAAACGTGGTGACTACAAATGGACTAATACAGGTATGATGCATTGGCAACTTGTATACCAAAATTGGTATTTTCCTTAAGTGATAAAGAATTCTCCTTAAAGATCTGAAAAATGCAAAGTGCAGCTTTTCTGTGATTTACAAAGGTTAATCATACTATATTCTATGTACATTAAACATTGTATGTTTCTAGAAAATCTAGTGTGTATTAAACCAATACAAAAGTAATTTTTTAACATAAAACAGAATTGGGTTCTAGGCTCAGTTTATCATTGTAAATTGGTATTTTTCATTAATCTGTATACTTTCTAGGAGTGATGGTTGGGAGGAAGCAGGGTTTTTCAACCTTGATGGTATTGATATTTAGAGGTAAATAGGTTTATTTGGTATCGGGGCTGTCACTGTATACTATAGAACATTTAGCAGCGTCCCTGGCTTCTTTAGATGCCAGTAGTATACTTTTTCTCAAATTATAACGATCAAAAATGTCTCCGGACATTACCAAATGTTCCCTGGGAAGCAAATCGCCAGGGTCGAGAATTCTATTAAAGGTATAGCTTATGGCCCTGACTGGGTGGTTCAGTTGGTTGGAGTGTTGTCTTGTACACCAAAAGGTTGTGGGTTCGATTCCTGGTGAGGGCATACACCTAGGTGGTGGGTTTGATCTCCAGGATCAGGGTGCATGTGGGAGGCAACTGATTGATGTTTTTCTCTCCTCTATGTCCTCCCCCCCTCACACTGTCTCTCAAAATCAATTTTAAAGAAACCATATCCTCCGGTGAGGATTGAAAGAAAAGGAACAGCTTATGTTTATAAAATAGAGAAAGATTAAGATACTTTGTCTTCAAACTCCTTTTCATGCATTCAGCACATTGATTGAACAAGGGATATTAAAGTGAATAGGGAATGACATGAGGACACATACAGCAACGACATGCTGCATATTGTCATTGTGGTGTTCATACCGCGCTGTAAGGCCCTGGGGAGCAGTCACCCACAGGAGCCTCAGAGGTAAAGGTAAAGGCACTCTTTTTTTAGTTGAAAGCATCAGTATTGCATAAATCACTAATTTTAAAAACTGAGTTTTTTGTTAATTATGTAAAGTATGTGTTTCCAGAAAAGTCCCATTAAAAGTCCTCTTAACATTTGTCTTCCTGTTTTTCTTTTCTTTGTCTTTTTTTGTATTTTACTCCTCAGAATGCTTTCTCGATTTTATTAATAAAGATCTTTGCTCTAGCCCACAAGGTGGCAGTCTTAGCTATGAAGAAGAAATCTTATGTGAGCAAGCTTTCAGTCTCTTAAGATTAATCCTTTATCCTCTGTAATAGAAGCAAATGTCCTAAAATGAGATATAGCGTGAGTAAGGAGAGAGTGTGTTGCATAGAAATTTAAAAAATCAAATAGATGAGTGAACACAGAATAGTTGGACCTGAGTGTGTGTCTTACTTCACCAAGGTACTTAGCATTTCCCTAAGTCAGGATCTTACTCCTTTAGGGGCAGTGTGAATGCAGTGGTCAAGAGGATGGTCTGAGCTCCCGACTGGCTTAGGCAAGATACTTAACCCCTGTCAGTCTAAGATTCCTTATCTATAAAATAGAATAATGGTATCTTGTAACCCCCCCCCCAAGGTCCTTAAGAAGATTACATGAGTTAATATAAATAAAAGTGCTTAGAGCTTGGAATGGAACCTGGCACATAGTAAATAATAGTAACAGTAATGTCAGCTTTTGTTAGTAACACTGAAAATATAAAATAGCACCAAAATACTAGGTGTTTTAATTTTATCTGGTTACTTATTTACCTTTACTTAACTATCTGGTTATTGATTCAGTGGATCTATAGTTTTGCGTTTGATTAGTCTGAGGCCACATTTGCACTGATCTTTTTTTTATTAATCCTCATATGAGGATATTTTTTGAGAGAGTGGGAGAGAAGGGGACATTAATGTGAGAGAGACACATCGATTGGTTGCCTCCTACATTCACTCCCAACCGGGCCAGGGATCTGCAATCCAGGTACATGCCCTTGACTGGAAGTCAAACTTGGGACCCTTCGGTACTCGGTCCAACACTCTAACCACTGAGCCACACCAGCCCGGGCTAGGTCATTATTATTGTTATTTTTTTAAATATATCTTTATTTTCAGAGAGAGGAAGGGAGAAGGGAGAGTAAGATAGAAACATCAATGATTAGAGAGTCATTGATCAGCTGCCTCCTGCACACCCCCTGCTGGGGATCGAGCCCGCAATCCGGGCACGTGCCCTGACCAGGAGTGGAACCTCCATCTCCTGGATCCTAGGTCGATGCTCAGCTGCTGAGCCATGCCGGTTGTGCTGTCATTATTTTTTAATGGCTATCTATATGCCATTCCATTTTTATGGTTGTACTTTAAAGCATTTCTCTGATGTTCCACAGATAGAAATTTGGCTTTGTTTTTTGTTGTATTTTTTCTATATCCTATTACAAATAATGCTCAATACTTGCACATAAATATATGTGCACTTACCTAATTTATTGTAGTTTTTTGTTTGTGTTTTTTTTTAAGTAGAATTGCCGTGTCAAAACATAAGGCACATTTTAAAAATTTTCAGCAGCTTGCATGATACCGTAAAGTTTGAACCAATTCTTTGGACCAGTTTACTTCATCACTGCAGTGTATGAGAAGGTATTCACTTCTTTACCCTCACCAGCACTGGATGTTTTTAGTTGACTTTGCCTGCTTTGTAGAAAATAAAGATTGTCCTGATTTTAATTTGTATTTTCTTGCAGTGATTTCATAAAATTAAAGAAAAACTAGTTATTTCTCTTAGTACCTCTGTCAGCTGAGTATTTTCTTTCCCCATATACATTAAAAAGTAATTAGACTTGGGATCCTGGGAAATCCTATCTCTAATATCAGGCCTGCCTTCCAGTGTTCATCTTAGGTATTTATGCAGCTGTAATACATTTACAGAGTGGATATAATATTTAAACACTGCAACAGCATTGAGCTAAGGAAAGGCAGGGATTAAAGTAGAAATGTTTTATTGAAAAAAACACAGAGACATTGAAGGGTTCTTATCAGGGATTTTGCTCTGAAAGTAGTGCCAGTGACATTTCTTTTAGCAAAGAATGTAAATTTTGTTTTAATGTACTTGCAAGTCTATTTTGTCATGAGAACTTAGAGTGTTGTGTGTATATTTTTGGTGGTATATTATTATACAGATCAGCTTTCCAGACCATTGCTGTCGCTATTCTAGTGGATATTATTACCTTGGTGATGGTGTCATAAGGGGCCTGAAGCTCTGTACCTATCAAGTAGAAAAGTCAAAGTAGTTTACATTTTCAAGGAACTGAAATTTTGCAATGCTGGTAACATAGAGGCTTGGTAAAAATTGTATTGAATAAATTTTACCAATGAGTAAAAGGTGTTTTTATCATATGCATTTTTATTCTCTTTACCTTTTTTGATATACAGAGAGAAGCATACAGTATAATTGGTATACAATTACATCTTGTAACACTTCTTATAAATTAATGAATACAATTTTTACATGTTGATAGAAGTTAACAAGTCATGGTTAAAATTCCAGAACTATTCTTTTGTATGTGACATATTTCCTTCAATAGCTATGGTAAATTTGACATATAAAACTCTGGTTATGGTATACATTTTAAAACAATTTTGTGTGCTTTCTTGGAATTAGAAAAATGTTTTTATTACTGACTTAGAAGTTCAGCCTGAAGCTATTTTCTCTCATATGTACCCACTGCAAGCAGAGCTAGTCACATTGTTTTTAAAGTGTGGCTAAAAGGTCGGTGGGTGTGACTTCAAGCTTTCACTTAGTATAGAGAAAGCATTGTTCCCACCTTCACAACAACAACAAACCCTCTACAGCTGCAAATGTAAAGTTTTCTTGAATCTAGCAGAGAGCTGAGATAGCAGGGCCACCATCTGACCCAAGATCTAAGTAAGCAAAGGCAAGCACTAAGGAAACATGGAATGGAAGGTCTTGTTTGCCTGGGACAGACAGAATGAACACCGCTCAGAAGAATTCAGTTGAGTTTTTTAATGAACTGCAAAGGCTTAGTGTGGACTAGCAAAAGAATATGGAACCCCTGGGGTCTGCAGACACGTGGGACTTTGCACCCATCTCCACGGACTTTATCTGATGCTTACAGAATGATAGGGGCTAGGGTTGGGATACTGCCCTCATTGAGCAGGCCTCAGAGGAGGGGAACAGTAAGTAGATGTTTTAGGAAAGATAACGAAGTTCTGTCTGAATCCTCCCTACCTCTCTCCTATGAGACCAAAGCCTTAAACTGCTTTCAGAGGGAACAGAAAGGAAACCCTCTACCTCCAGGAAAGGGGCGGGACTATGTGCTGGGTCCAGAACTTCAGCAGAGGGGGCAGGGCAGGAACACTGAGGAGGCCACTCCCCAGTCACCAAGGAACACAGTGCTTGCCTAAGACCAGACTTAATGAGAATATCAGAGAACTCCCACCCCCATACCAGGCTAACAGAAATGGCTTAGCAGTTAACAGTGGAATGCAGGAGGTGCAAGAGTATGGAGGCTGACAGATCATCTTAGGTGCAGCGTAAAGGGAAGACCTAAAACCACAGGTTGAGAAAAACCCTCTGGCAAACAAGCCTCTACCCTAAACACATGTCTGGCTAGAGGAATTTGAAGCCTGTGGTGCATCATGGGTAACAATGGCAGCAACAAATTCCCAACCAAGCTCATATCCTGTCAATAGAATGACTCCACCTCCACACACGAAAGGCCTAGCAGAAGGAAAGGCGTACCCCTTTCCAGGCACTATTTACCTCAGTCTCAGCTGTTCTACTGAGGATATCCTGCTTTCAAAAAAAACACACGAAGGCATAAAAAGAATCAAGGACAAGCAGTGCACTTTTGAGGCAAGGGGATGAACAGAATCATATTCTCAGGACACAGATACTGGAACTATCAGGCGTGGAATTTAAAATAACTCTGATTAATATGTTAAGCCCTCTAGTAGAAGAGGCAAACTTACATGATCAGGTATGATATTTTAGCAGACAGATACACATAACAAAATCAAATGAAAATTCTATAACTGAAAAGCACATTAACAGAGACAAAGACTGGCTTCATTAAGCTTATCAGTAAACTTGGCATGGCCAAGGAAAGAATCTTTAAACTTGAGGATAGGCCAATACAAATGATCTAAACTGAAATGCAAAGAGAAAAACATGAAAAAAATACAACAGAGCATCCATTAGCTTTGAGATAATTTAAAGTGGTCTGAATGTGTAATTAAGATCTCAGAAGAAGAGAAAGGGAATGGGACAGAAGAAATAATGGCCAAGAATTTTCCAAAATTAATGATAGACGACAAAACAAAGATGCAAGAAGCTCTGAGAATACGCAAGATAATCCACCCTCCCCCCAAAACAAATGACAAAAGCATCTAGGCATACCACATTCATACTGCTGAAAATTGAAGAAGAGAAAATACTGAAGGTAGTCAGAGGAAAATGCTTATTATAGAGGAAAAAGGAGTATAGCAGACTTCTCATTTGAATCTATGCAAACCAAAAGAAAGTGCAGTGGTACCTTTTAAGGGCCAAAAGGGAAAAACTTTTCAACTCAGAATTCTGTAGCCAGCAAAAATAGTCTTTCAAAATGGAGAACTACTTTCAAAGTAATACTCTCTCGACATCACAGAAACAGAGAATTCATTGTCATCAGACCTGCGTTATTAGAAGTACTGAGGATGTTCTTCAGGCAGAAGGGATGTGATACTAGACAGTAACTTGGATCTATACAAATAAGTGAGAGTGCTCTAAATGGAATAAATGAAGGTAAATATAAAATTCATGTTTTTCTAATTTAAAAATGTTAAATCAATTTAAAACTTTCTTGTTTTTAATTGCTCTGAAAGATGATTAAAACAAAAACATTAGAAATGTATTTTGTGTTTAAAGCATATGTAATAGTAAAATTTATGACAATAGCTCAAAGGTCACGACAGAGTATACTATTACAACATCTTTACATGTGAGCTGGTATAATTTACTTGAAGCTGAAACAACATGGGAACTAGGAGCTCTAACACCCCCTCCCACCTGCAGTCGAAGAGCCAAGTGTAACTCCCCCCCCCTTTTTTATTTTTTAAAGAAGTTATCTTTATTGTTAAAAGTATTACAGATGTCCCCTTTTTTTCTCCCATTGGCCCCCTCCACCCTGCTGCTGGCCTTCACCACACTTCTCACTGTTGTCTGTGTCCATGGGTTATGCATATAAATTAGGTTAATTTCCCCACGCCAACCTCCCATCTCCTCCCTTAGTGTGTAACTTTCGACTCCTCAAAAACACAGCTACTGATACCCTACTATTGACTGGAAGCCTTACTGATAACATAAGCAGTCAATTAAACATGTATTTTATATGTTATATACTGTATTCTTACAGTAGAGAAAATTATTAAGAATATCATAAGGTTCATCTGGGAGTTTTTTCAAATTGTCACAAGCCTCCAAAAATTTTTTTCAATATATTGATTGAAAAAAATCGGCATATAAATGGACCTATGCAGTTCAGACCGATGTTGTTCAAGGGTCAGCTGTAAACTGTATAGCTCCTCATTCCAGTATAAAATTGGTTCCCATTGTCCCTATTTGCTTCTTTTTACTAGTGGGAGAGGAAATGGAGTATACGGAGTTTAGAGGAGATGAGCAGGAATTTGAACTGTTTCAATGGAGAGAACTGATTTTTGGAATAAAAGGAGACTGTCCACTGCCTTTCCTTCCCAGGAAAGCAGGGAGGCCTTAAGCACATGGCCCTTCATTTACCATACTCTAAAAATAGAATATTACTGATCTGGTCTGTAAGGATGCAGTTCTGTTCTCAGGCCCCTCTGCTCCTCAGTGTCCAGCATTTGAATGTTGTCTCACTTCCTTTGTTTTTATAATGAAATCTCAGATGTGCTAATGTAGACCAGAGAAGATAATATTGGAGCCTGGATTTCCATCACTGAGATGCTGTAGCTGGTAAACATCTATTGTAAAGTATCTACTGTCTTGTTGGCACAGAGTTCCAGAAACTGTGGAGGAGTGTCACTGTGGATTCAATGGATGAGGAGAAGATTGAAGAATATCTGAAGCGACAGGGTATTTCTTCCATGCAGGAATCTGGACCAAAGAAAGTGGTATGTAATTGCTGGGGGAAAAATGTGATCCTTTGTTCTTTCAACTGTTAGCCTGCTTTCTATTCTTTGAAAAGCAGGTAGACAGTTCTCCCTTTCAATTTTTTCTATGTCCTAATCCATTGATCTTAGTTGCAAATAAAATCATATGTGGTTTGTTAAGGGCCAGTGGATCTCTGCCCTCAAGTACTGCTCCCCCGGCGTGTGTGTGAGTTTTCCCCATCTGACTGCTCCTGTCCTAGCAGTGTCTGCTCTTCAGCACCAGCCGTAGCAGACTTTTTCTAGTGCTCACATATTGACCTCTCAGTTCTGATCTTGGCCTTTAAGGCTCTACTGGTGCACCGCACCCCCGCTCCGTACTCCCATGAGCCCCGTGGTGTTGGTGCCTGGCTCTTCCTTAGTCCTGATCACATTGCATTGTCCTTGTTGACTTTCAGATCCCTTTGGAACCAGATAATATTGTCTTTGTAACCCTAAATCCTGCTTAGGGGAGGGATTTATAATGGGATGAAGACTTGTGAAATTGTCTGTTTAGCTAATTGACTATGTTAGTCAAGGACAAAAATGGGAAGTAGTTCACCAACGCTGTAGACTCTAGCTGCTGTACCTCTTTCCCTCTTTTTCTTATTCACCATCAGGCTGTGTAACTTGCCTTCTTTGTGACTTTTCCTGTGTGTGTGGTGTGTATGTGCACTGAATTTTTAGGGACTCCTTAATAAAGAAGATTTATTGCCAGTGATCTCCATGATTTAGTGTAATTGCAGTACTTCATGATTTTTTATCATTGTTTGGCTTATTGATATAATTAATTTATTTTTAATCCTCACCTGAGCATATTTTTTCCATTACTTTTCAGAGATAGTGGAAGGGAGGGAGGGAGAGAGAGAGAAGCAGAGAGAAAGAAACATCGACATGAGAGAGACACATCAATTGGTTGCCTCCCACATGTGCCCTGACTGGGGCCAGTGATCGAGCCTGCAACCGAAGTGCATGCTCTTGGCCGGAATTGAACCCCAGGACCCTTGAGTCCACGGGCTGATGCTCTAACCACTGAGCCAAACCGGCTAGGGCATGATGGATATATTTTTAAACCAGATAATAGTGATGAAGAACAAAGCTTTACTGCCTCTCTTTTTATCTACTTAGTGCCTAGAATAGTTCTGGGAAGTTTTTGTGCCAGCTCGTTTATTCTAGGTAGAGGTATACACATCATAACAGAGAGCACTGGTTCTTGTTTACGGTTGGGAGTGTGCTGTGGATTGGTGTGTATGAGGATGGCCTGCAAACTAGAAAAATGGGCCAAATACCCCGAACCTCTTGCTTCTGGTTTCTGGGCATCCTTTATAAATCCTTACCGCATTGCCCTCTGAGTAGCTGTTCCTGTTTTTACCTTTTCCTGTAGGCCCCTATTCAGAGAAGGAAAAAGCCTGCTTCACAGAAAAAGCGACGGTTTAAGACTCATAATGAGCACATGGCTGGCGTGCTGAAGGACTACTCTGACATTGCTCCTGGCAAATAGTGAACAGTTTTATAGGTGAGCAAAGAGTTACAAATACAAAGTCAAGATCTTTCTTGTTGACCCTGGGATCTGAAGACTGTCTTCCCATCCTGCTTCCTAGGACAGGAGAGGAGCAGTTCCGTTTACAGAACAAGTGTAAATTACCAAACTCAAAGCTTATTTTAATTGAATAGGCTGATGAGAAATGTGATGTTCCCTGTTAACTTCTGTTACTTCTTGGGGGAGAGGCACTTAGCATGGCATACAGGTGTCTGCTGTTTATCTCTCCTTCTAAGGGGTTCCTGGTTCCATTTTTCCTTTTATTCCTTTAGAACAAGTTTGCAGATAGTCTGAATGCAATATCTGTTTATTCCAAAATAACATATTTATAATAAAATCATTGCCAAAGGAGCTCTGAGATACTAGATAATTCAGTTTGTTTTTTTCATTCTTGGCAATGGCAGTTGGCAGCTCGGGCCTTTAACTCCCACGTGGTGTGTGTTTGGGGTGTTGGAGACTGACCCGTACTGTGTTGCTGAGCATATGGATTTCATAGTTAGAACACAAAGTGTGCCTCTTGTTAGCAAGTGAAGAGGTAAAGATACATTACATGTGATTTTTAATGTTTTCTTTTAAAAGGGTAAATCAGAATTTAGCATCTTGGATTTTGCAAGTCATTGTCTCATGCCAACAAAGGTAGATAGAGTCATCTTGCCATCCTGAATATCAGCTTTGCATCCCAGCCCTTAGGGTTTGACCTGAAGTTCTTCTGGTGAAGAGTTTTTTCTTTCCTCATTACTGGCCATTGTTCACCAGAGCCATTGTCAAATGGGTTCTTCAGAGTTGTGTTGTCTTACAGGAAATCTTTGTGGTCATTCTAGCCTTCTGTGGAAAACTGCCATTTTTCTTATCTCTACCTGTGATATGGTCTGTGGTGGTTCGAACTTGGTGGGTTGATTGTTACAGTCCTTATGTCACAAATTAAAATTGTAGTGTATTATAAAAACGGCTTGGTGTTCTCAAAAAGGGTATCATGGTACCCCAAAGCAGTACGTACTTTGTGCATATGACAAGGAGTCCTTTTTGCAGCTTTAGTTCTTTTAATCTCTTCTTTTTACTTCTCACCTGCATTTACAGTGTCATTGTTTACCTCTTTCTTACATCCAAGCCCCAAAACATGGCATGCAAAGATGTAAAACTGAGGCTCAAAGCATAATGATTTGACTTACATATATCATGAAATTGTTACTACAATAAGTTTAGTTAACATCCATCATCTCACATAGATACCAAAAATGGTTTTGTTTGTGTTGAGAAATCTTAGGATTTACTCCCTTAACTTTCATATATACCATACAGCACTGTTAACTATAGACATCATATTGTACCTTATATCCCTTGTACTTATTTATCTTATAACTGAAAACTTGTACTTTTTAACTATCTTCATCTAGTTTCCCCTCCCCCGTTTCCCACCTCTGGTAACCACATCTGATCTCTTTTTGATGAGTTTGGATGTCTTTTTTTAGATTCAACATGTAAGTGAGGTCGTACAGTGTTTCTCTTTCTCAGCCTGACTTATTTCACTTAGCATACTATCTTCAGGGTCCATCCATGTTGTTGTAAACAGCAGGATTTCCTTCTTTTTTATGGCTGAATAATATTTCACTGTGGATATATACACATCATCATCTTTATCCATTCATCTGTTGATGGACACTTAGGTGGCTATTGTAAATAATGCTGCTATGAACATGAGGATACAGATATCTATGTGACATAGTGTTTTTATTTCCTTCAGAAATACTCCCAGAAGTGGAATTGCTGAATCATAGGGTGGTTCTACTTTTAATTTTTTTAATTGATTCTAGTGAGAGAGGAAGTGAGAGAGAGAAACATCAATTGGAGAGAAACATTGATCGGCCGCCTACTGCACATGCCCCAACCAGGGATCGAACCTGCAACCCTGGCATGTGCCTTGACCAGCAGTTGAACCCGAGACCTTTCTAGTGCATGGGAAGACACTCTGACTGACTGGGCCACCAGTCTAGGGCGCAGGGTGATTCTACTTTTAATTTTTTGAGGATGCTTCATACTGTTCTCCATAGTGGTGGGCAGAAACTTTTTAGTTTGTCTAATTTTCATTTTGTTGCTTGTGCTTTAGGTGTCATATCTAAAATGCCATTGTCAAGACCCATGTCAAGAAGCTTTTTTTTTTTTTTTTTTTTAATATGTTTCTATTGATTTCAGAGGAAGAAGGGAGAGGGAGAAACATTGATCAGCTAGCTGCCTCCTGCACACTCCCTACTGGGGATCAAGCCTGCAACCCGGGCGTGTGCCCTGACCAGGAATTGAACAGTGACCACCTGGTGCATGGGACAGTGCTCACCCAACTGAGCCACACTGGCTGAGCTGGGCTCAAGAAGCTTTTTTGCTCTTTTATTCTAGGAGTTTTATGGTTTCTGGTCTTATATTACTATGGCTTTATAATACAGCTTGAAATCAGGAAGTGCGATGCCTCCCATTTTTTTCTTCTTTCCTAGGATTGCTTTGGCTGTTTAGGGTCTTCTGTGGTTTCATACACATTTTAGGATTGTTTTTATGCTTCTGTAGAAAATACCACTGGAATTTTGATAGGGGTTGCATTGAATCTGTAATTGGCTTTGGGTAGTAGGGACATTTTAATAATGTTATTTCAATCCATGAACACAGGATGCCTTTCCATTTATTTGTGTCGTCAGTTTCTTTTATCAAAGTCATGTAATTTTCATTGTGGAGCTCTCTAACCTCCTTGGTTAAATTTATTTCTAAGTATTTTATATTTTTCATACTGTTGTAAATGGGATTATTTTCTTTATTTCTTAGATAACTTGTTAGTGTATAAGAATGCTACTGATTTTGTATGTTAATTTTTTATGCTGCAACTTTACTGAATTTATTAGATCGAATAGTTTTTTTGATGGATTCTTCAGAATTTTCTCTATATTAAAATCATGTCATCTTCAAATAGAAACAATTTTACTTTTTCCTTTTCAGTTCTGATGCCTTTTATTTTTATTTTTTTTAAGGAAACTTGAGTTGCTTTATTTAGCTTCCAGTTTCTGGGAGGCTCAAGAATTATAATTATTCTGGACAACAAAAGGAAATAAGACTGTGCTTATAGATCTTTTTCTGCCATATTCTTTCTGTAGGGTTGCTGTTTTATTGTTGCCTTTCTGTTACATGGATGTACACACCAGGTGTTAAAAAAAGCACAATACATTGTACAATTAAGCACCACACCTTTTATTTCTTTTTTCTCACCTGACTGCTTTGGCTGGGAATTTCTGTTCTGTGTTGACTAAGAGTGGTCACCCTTGTCTTGTTTTTGCTCTTAGAAAAAAAGCTTTCATTATTTCACCATTGAGCATGATGCTAGCTTTAGGCTTGTCATGTATGGCCGTTATTATGTTGAAGTATGTTCTGTACCCACTTTATTAGGAGTTTTTATCATGAACGCATATGAGTTTTATCAAATGCTTTTTCTGTGTCTTTTGACATAATCAGGATTTTTTTGTCATTGTATTGATGTGATGTATCACATTGATTAATTTGCATACATTGAACCGTTCTTGCATCCCAAATATAAATCCCACTTGATCCTGATAAATGATCTTTTTAATGTGCTACTGTATTTAGTTTCCTGGTATTTTACTGAGAATTTTTGAATCTATATTGATGAGGGAGAGTTGTGTTTTTTTTAAACATATCCTTATTGATTTCAGAGAGAGGAAAGGAGGGAGAGAGAGAGACATCAATGATGAGAGAGTCATTGTTTGGCTGCTTGGCCCGCAACCCGGGCATGTGCCCTGACTGGGAATCGAACTCCGATCTCCTGGATCCTAGGTCGATGCTCAACTGCTGAGCCACGTCCGGCCGGGCCTCTTTGATTTTTTGGGAAGAGTTTGAGAAAGATTGGCGTTAATTCTTTAAATGTTCAGTAAAATTCACCTGGGAAGCTATCTAATCCTGAGCTTTTCTTTATTGGGAGATTTTAAATTACCGATTCAATCTCCCTACTAGTAATTGGTCTGTTCAGATTCTTTATTTCGTCCTAATTTCAGTCTTGGTAGGTTGCATGTTTCTGAGAATTTTTCCATTTTTTTTCTAGATTATCCAATGTTAGAGTGTAATTGTAGTATAATAGCCTTTTATGATTCTTTGTATTTTTTGTTGTATCAGTTGTAATGTCACCTTTTTCATGTATAATTTTATTGAATTGGGTCCTCTCTTTTTTTTCTTTGATAAGTCTAGCTAAAGATTTGTAAATTTTATCTTTTCAAAGAAAACCAACTCTTTAGTTTTGTTAGTCTTTCCTATTTTCCCATTCTCTATTTCATTACTTCTCTAATTTTTTTAAATATGTTTTTTATGGATTTCAGAGAGAGGGAGAGAGAAAGAAACATCAATGATGAGAGTCATTGATTAGCTGCCTCTTGCACACCCCCTACTGGGTTGGATATCAAGGTTGTAACCCGGGCATGTGCCCTGACCAGGAATTGAACCACTGGTTCATTGCTCAACCACTGAGCCATGCTGGCCAGGCTCTCTAATCTTTATTTCTTGTCTTCTGCTAACTTTGGGATCCATTTGTTCTTTTTCTAGTTCATTAAGGTATAAGAGTGAGGTTGTTTCTTAATGTGTTTATTGCTATGACCTTTTCTCTTAGAACTGCTTTTGCTGTATCCTATGTTTTGATATATTGTGTTTCCATTTTCATTTGTCTCATACTTTTTTGTTTCCCCTTTAATTTCTTCTTTGATCCATTGGTTATTCAGGAGAGCGTTGTTTAATTTCCATGTATTTGTGAATTTTCCAGTTTTTCTTGTTACTGATTTCTAGTTTCATACCGTTGTGGTCAGAGAAGATACTTGGTATGATTTCAGTCTTCTTGAATTTGCTAAGACTTGTTTTGTGGCCTAACATGGCTTATACTAGAAAATGTTTCATGTGTACTTGATAAGAATGTGTGTTCTGTTATCTGCTAGAGTGTTCTA